CCTGCTCGCTGCAGTGACCATAGAACGTATCGAGAAGGTCCCCCTCCAGAATGGGAGCGTAAACGGAGTGGAGGGCACGGCCTCACAAGAAGAGGCGCAATCTGACATTGGGACACAGTTTGGAACTGACCCATTTCTACAGGCCTTCGGGCCCCAACCAATGGACATAGAGGAACCCCCGTCCCCTCTCCCCCCCCCCCCCGACGTGGAGTCAATGGAGGTGGATAGCCAGGCGGTGGCTAGCCAGGAGGAAACAACACCCCCCCCGGCAGAAATGGGGGTCGAGCAAAAGCAACAAGCAATAGCTGACTGGCTCCTGGATGGTTTCAAAGCTCAACATGGGAGTGCCTCCCACGAATTTTGGGATCAAACGTACATTGAGCTCTTTGATATGCTTGACCACAGCCCGACTGTACGAGCAGCCCTTGAGCACGGCCCCCCGAAGCACAGCTCCTGGCCATAACTGTTCCAGCGCATTAGGCAGATTGCGTGGGTCCACTTCCGACCACCAGGACAACCCCCGGGGGCAGAGGACGGGGATAACAGAGCCCCCCCCCCCATCACAACCTCCTCCGGTAAACAAGACAGCAGAGGAGGAGGGGCCGCCAACAGAATAGAGGACCGAAAAACTCAGGAATCTAATTGTGTCGGGTCGTTACGAGGCTACTCTCTCTAAAGATGGGGGGGTGTTAGCAATCCCCCTGCGTTATGCAGGGGATCGAATGGAGATCGGTCTCACGCCCACAGCGGGTGGTTTCACGTTGCCTGGCTGGAGGTTCTTCAACCAATGGTCCCTGCCCAGCCTCAGAGAACATATTTTTTTGGAAAAGCGAAATCCTTTGTCAGCAGGAATTACCCCGTAGGGGCCAAAGCAATGCTATCCCACTTTGAGGGGATCCAGAGGATAGCATCAACAGATCTCTTTATTCTGTTTGCAGAGGATAAAAGCTCGGACCTACAGTGGTTCACTCACATCGCCCTCATGGACCTACGTACCCAACACATAACAACCAGTTCCTTCTGGCCTGCCGAGGACATACAGACGTGCCTTACGAAAATACTCAGATATGGGCTGCTGTGCACAGTAGATTGGTCCTCCAAAAAATGTAAAAGAATTATAAAAAAAAAACAAAAAAAAAACACACAACACAGACACGATAATCAATGCGTGCAGCGATGGGGAAGGACCTTGATACTCTGTACTGCACAAACCCAGAATGGCAGCACTGCCTGAAGAGTGCGGACTTGGACTTGCGGTCACTCAATGTGAATGGAATTGCCACATATAAACCCCCTAAATGCCAAGCAATATGGGACCAATTGCGAGGGGTGGGGGGTAGGAGGTGGCCGGACGTGATCTGCATACAGGAGACACACCTCCTGGACACTCCCGACCATCACAAAGCACACCGAAACGTGTGGCTGCACCAGTCCTATAGAGCCCACGCTGTGACACCGGCATCTGCAGGTGTGGCGATCTGGATTCCGTCGGATTCCAGAGTAGAGATGGTGCACTGGGCAGCGGACGAACTACAAGGCCGGTGGGTTTCCATTCTGGCGATGCTGGAACTGGAATTGGTATGCATCTTCTGTGTGTATGCCCCCAACTCAACCCGGGAAAGGGAGGGCTTTTTCAACCACCTGGCCTCGCTCTCGCCCCAAGGCATCCCGCTAATCTTTGCCGGTGATTTTAACGCGGCCCCGGATAGATGGATGGACTGATGAAGCCCACAAGGCAATTACCCCCAATATGTGGAGGAGGACGAAAGAACCATCTCGCAGTTCAGCACGACTCTTTCTCTGCTTGATGCATATCGTCACCTTCACCCGCAGAAGAGATCTTACACCTGCCTCCGCACCAGCGACCCCGGCAGACACACGAAATCTCGGATCGATCTGGTCCTAATTTCGACAGCCATACGGGACGCCCTGCAACTCTCGGCCATATTCCCGCAAAGCCCGTACCYAGRCCTTGACCAYTGCACATGTGGAATCATTYTTACTTTCCGTAAACGGCCCGATCAAGGGCCGGGCTATTACAAATTGAACACATCACTGTTGAAAGTCGAAGGTTTTCGGAACTTCACAAGAGACGTGTGGTCTTATTGGCACAACCAAAGACACCACTTTGCATCACAAATCCAATGGTTTACAAACGGATTGTTCTTCTTGGCCAAGAAATGCAAAGACTATTCAAAATTRGTCGCGAWTCAACGATACTCCCGAGARATGGAGRCCCACAACCAACTTCATGACCTGGTCTCCCAGGACAATTCAGAGGAACACACGARCACTATCCAACAGTTAAAAGACCAACTATTACAATATGCCCAATATAGATGGCAGGGCATTAGAATCAGAGGGAAACTCGCAAAATGGACCACGGARRGAACTATGGACTCACAATTTTTCAGTCTTGCATCAATCCAAGCCCATCGGACAACGATARAAGCCCTTCTTGACCCCACCACTGGGGAACTGGCCACTACAACCGCACACAGCGTAAAGATAGCCAGGACCTTCTTCCAAGACCTTTTCTCATCTCACATCCCTCAGCCACAGGACCCCCGACACCTTGCAGACGTGGACAGGTTTCTGGACCCTATGGAGAACCACCTATCACCCGAACAGAAGGAAAAGATAGAACGCAGAATAACTAAAGAAGAAATCTGGACCGCACTGCTKCAAATGGACGACGAAAAGACACCGGGGGTAGATGGTTTCCCAAAAGAATTTYGGGAAACCATGTGGCCGCACCTCTCCGACGAMCTCATGCACTTCTACGAGSAAGYCTGGAATACCGGAGAGATGGGCGAAACGGTGGGACAAGGGGTGCTCTCCTTGCTCCACAAAAAAGGGGACTGGATGAATATACGTAATTATCGCCCGATTACTCTCCTGACAGTGGTCTACAAGATGCTATCCAAGGCACTGGCCAATCGAATAATAGAGGTGGTAGAGGATCTGGTGCACCCATCATAAACAGGCTTCATTCGCAAAAGAAACATCCAAGAAAATATTCTCCTAATCCATGATGTAATCAACCTCGCACGTAAAGACAAAAGTAATGCCGCGTTGGTCTTCATTAACTTCGAGAAAGCATACGACCACGTGGATTGAACCTTTCTTGACAAATGTTTGGAAAAGTTCAACTTTGGCCCTTCCTTCCGACGATGGATTAGGATTCTGCACCAGAATGCCACCACTAGAGTGCAGATAAATGGCAACCTGGCTCCATAAATTCTACTCCACAGATCAGTCAGGCAGGGTGACCCGATAGCCCCTTTTCTTTTCGTCCTCACCATGGAAGCGTTATCGGCCAACTTACGCAACAGCAGAAACCTGAACAAAATTCACCTGTCCGGAATCCCGGAGGAAGCTGTCCCGATCTGTTCGCTGTTTGCTGCCGATCCGACGATCATGACAGACACAACACCTGCAAACATGGAAGAGATAAAGCGGCTAATGGATAGATTTTGCACCCTCTCAGACATGACTATAAATTGGCGTTAAAAAACACAGGGCTGGTGGATCCACCACCAGGGGAGTCGTCCCCCGGACGAACCGCGCATCTCATGGACCCCTCAGGAGGCGCCTGTTAGGGTCCTGGGGGTGAAAATGTCAGCATACGGCCGCCCGCTTGACAACGACGACTGGATTACGGCCCCAACATTGGCTAAATTTGACCGCTGGGACCGCAAGCACACATCTCTGTTCGGAAGAGCCCTCGTAATCAATAATATGGTTCTTGCCACACTATGGTACAAATCTGTTCTATGGCTAGCCAGCGCGGGGCCCACAAAGCCTTTAGACGAAAGGTGGCAGCATATCTATGGAGAGGGGACAACCAGACTACTAACGCCATCAGTCGAGTGGCATGGGACACAGTGGTTCAGCCCAAAGCACAAGGGGGGTTGGGCATCATAGACCTCCCCACTCAGACACAGGCTTTGAGCCTGATGTGGTTGGTGAGAATGATCTTCGAGGCAACCCAACAGTGGGCCCCACTGGCTATACGACAGATAGCCCATCTGACCCCAAAATCTCCCCCGGAGGTCGATCCACTGAGATGGTTAGACGACAGGTATTGGAAGGTCCTGAGGGGCCTGCGTGATGATCTGTGGCCACGCCTAATAAAAACCTGGAGGAAACTCCCCCCCCCAAATCGCCCGCCTCCGGACCGGTGGGAGGAAGTGGCAAGAGAGCCACTGTTCGGGAACCGATGGATCACAAACACACACAACCAGATTTTTTGCAGTTCGGACTCACCATGGAAGGGGTGGGTCAAGCATGGGATTTCCAGGGTAAAGGATCTGTGGGACGACCTAAAAAATGACTGGAAAACACCAGATCAAATGAAGGGACTCCTCCGCTACTGCCATAACTCTGAAGCCGTAGTAGAGGAACTAACTGAGGCCTTCCCTCTGGCCTGGCTCCACATTCTGCGCAAGGGTCCACAACTGCAAGAGGGGGACTGGGTCAATACCAATGACTGGGCCCAACGCATCGGGCTAGTTCACCAGGTGCGTGCAGAAGATGCCCTGGTTGAAGAATATCAGGTAGGGAAGGATGGGCGACTGACCGGCAGTACAGACCCCTTTATATGGGGTTCTAAGACCCCGCTCCACCAAGTGAGAGTATACGGTGAGGGGGAGGGGCAAAGAGCTTTCAGGCCCGGGACCCCGCTGAGTGAGCTTCCCCTGGACCCGGTCGAGTGGGTGTGGAACCCGCCAGCTCACCCTCGGGCACACGATTTAAAGCCCGTACCCCTCTGGAACATGACAGTCAAAGCTTCCTACCGAAAGCTTAGAGTCAAAAAAGTTGTGAAGGAAATGGTCCGCGATCGCTGGTAGCGACATTTTAATATAAACAGACAATTATTGGCATCCATCAGATGGTTTAAGGACTGTAAATACGGCCCGGCCAAGATCACATCCTTACAATGGCAAATTATACACCGCTGTCTCCCTACTAACAGCTGGCTGATATCCCACACCCACCTGGAACAGCAAGGGCGGGTGCTGCCTTGGTGTTCTCGGTGTCTTCTCACCTTCCTGTCCAGAAAAAAAGAAGAAACCATAGAGCACATTTTTCTCCAATGCCCGGTAGCAGTAGCAACATGGAGATGGTGGGAGAGGATATGGCGACACATGGTCCCGGGACACGCACGGCCATGGGAGTGGCGGGCGATCTTGCTGGGCCATCGCCCGGACCTCCAAAATCAGACCTTCGCATGGAACATGTTCCACCTGGGAAGACGAGTGATTCTATGGGTTATTTGGTGGCAACGCTGTGCCCTTGCCATGGACAAGGTGATGGTGGATGGGGAGGAGAAACAGGAATACCTCAAACAGCAGTTCCAACTAGAACTTTCTCGACTATGGGCAGTCACAAAACAAACATTAGACTCATTACATCAACCAAAAGACATTGTCTCGGTGATTACG